CTTTTCCTGACCGTCAGTGGAATGATCAGTAGACCTTTACAACGTCACACCTTTACTTTCACAGCCTCATTAATTTTATCCCCTCTGACACATTATATGTTGTGTGCATCTTTTTAAATACATCTAAATTCCCTCGGGCGTCACATGTCACCATAGAAGGCCAAAAAAAAAAAAACGTACAGCTCAGTTTAAACGTAAAAGCAAATAATCGAACTACTTGTTACGTCCCCGACAGGAGGTGTTAAAATGTGAAGGAGGGGGAAACATAAGAATTGCGACAGTGGATTTAAAATGGGTTTAATTGTTATAAAAGGTTCTAAAACAAGAGCAAACAGATGGCGAGCATTATTAAAATAATGCAAAACGAAAAATTCACTATAAGGTTAAACAGTTAAAAGACAACTATATAAAACACCTGGTTAAAACATTCAAAGTTTTACCTAAACTGAAGGGGTTTTAAAAACACAACGAAGTTGATAAAAGTCTAAAAACTAAAGCAGAGTTACCTTAAAACAGAGTGAGCTAAGTTGACGTCAACCAAAGATCCCTATGGATCACTCAAGAGTTTTTCCCTTTAAACTCCTCAACTCAGAGTTAAAACTTTAAAAGTTAACTCATCACAATTCAGTTCAATTCAAATTCAAAAATACTTTATTAATCCCAGAGGGAAATTTATTAAAACAAAGGGGTTGAAAATAAAACGAGGCCTGGAGGACAGCAGAACCCCTGCACTGCTGCCTCTTAGACTGCTGAAGGCACAGCCTTTTTATCCCAGGTGTTCGTCATCGGGAGGATTCTGCTCAGCTGTGCTCCTCAGCAGCCTGGAAGAGAGGGGGAGGAGGGGCGGTGTCGGGCTGATCACCAGGGCTGGGTGATCCTGGCTCCTCCACCTGAAGACGCCAGGCTGGTGGCCATAACACTACTTATTCAGATTTGACATATCTTTGCCAAATGCTGCAGTAACACTGACAGATTTACAACGACAATATCATGCTGAATGAAAGGAAAAGCATAAATTGGCACACAAATTTGCCAATAAATACAGATTTGAAACGTCTTTAAGGTCAGAGATTATGTGCCTTGAGGGGCCTTGCTTGGTAATTCACCGTAAACGTTTTCCAGCTCTGATTTGTGTATCAGGAGTTCAGTGCAGCCATGAAGCAGAAAGAAATGTGGGGGTAAATGGTCCATGAGCACGGCTTGGCCTGGTCCGATAAGTCCCACTGGACCCTGTATGGTGAATGAGTGTGCGCTTTATGCATGGATGCATGGTCTGGCTTCCAGCAGGGCTTCTCCCCATCGCATAATATCCCATAAAACACTTTAGACGAATATGCAAACAAAATTACATAAAAGCATCACACATAAGTCCGCAAGTGGTTAAAAACGCCAATCGTATTATAGATTACGTGCATTAAAATGAAGGGATTATCTCCCAACCAAAAAGAAGCCAAAAAAAAAAGTTCTGCCAACACCGACATCCTCGCCTGTATATTTTAGGATCAAATTCTTGCACCATAGTCCCGGATACTAACAAGTGATTGGTGAGTGGATGAGAGGTAATTGCATGCTTAAATGCCTGAGAAATGGACATCTAGTTCTGCTGATCTGGTGCTTTCTGTGTGGCCTCATTGTTCCGACGTGCAGCCGTGCAGTTCTTTCAGTCCCAGTCAACATTCATGTTGGGTTAAAGGGTGGCTCAGAAGCATAAAAAGGGAGGGAATCTTTGTCTGGTGGCCAGAAATTTCATTGCAAGATAAAACACTTTGTATTTGCCCACCATGCCTGGCAAGAGAACTGTGATTAACGCCGGACTAGAGTAAACCCACAGAAATCAGATGCTTTCCCCCCTCTTTTTTCGCTGTTCTGACCCATGCTTTAACATTCTTGTTGACAGCCAAACAATCAGCTGCTTTAAAGTAGTGCCTGATGGCACAGACAGAAACTACAAAAATTCAACTTGTGCACAAACATGCAAAGATGCCACTGTCAGTTATGCTTTCTGGTTGATGTGCTTAATGTGGCTCAAGTGGACAAACAAAAGCCTCCTGTATTGGACTGCAGAGTAATGAGAGGCAGCTCGATCATAAATACGTAACACATTGAAATGCATGGCCCTGCACAGTTTTCCATTTCACTGAAGGACAAAAGGGACAAGCCATCAAATTCAGGTCATCCGAGGCATTTACTCAGGTTGTTGAGCTCTGTGATGTTAAAAGAGTTCAATCATCAGAACTTTGGGATAAGTCTGTTTGAGAGCAAGAGCTTCTTGGATGAGAGTCAATGTTTATACAACTTTATTGAAATGAATCGCAGCCCTATTGTGTCAAATGCATTCCTACACCCAATTATTCACGTATGAAACTTGGAGCTGTCGTTGTCGGGTTTCGGTGCACGCAACTTGTTTTTTTTTTTCCAACATGCACAATGGTGATCCCCATGTGCATTATGCTGAATAGGAACTATTGTGACCTCCGATAGCACCCTTTTGGAGGTTGGATATGTGGTGAATGGATAACACACAGGACTGTCAACCTTTTGCCAATTTAGTGGTGGTTCTGTGTATCATATTTCATGGGCTGTGAACTTGGTTCTTTTCACTTGTACGTCTCATCTGAGCCAAATATGTATTGAAAAGTAATGGTTTTAGAAATAACAACTACTTGAACAGCAACTCAGTTAATTTTGATGAAAAACAGAGCAATTAAATCATGTTGAAACATCGTTTACATGACTGGAGGCATTCAGGGAAAATTTCTTAGAAGAAAAAAAAAAGCCCTTAGAAATGTAAAGAAAATCCAAATATAAAATGTTTTCATTTACCTCAAACTTTGTAAAAATATGTTTAAAAATTAAGTCTTCATTTTGTATCAATTGTATCACTGCTATGTATAATGGTAGACAAAGTATAAGACAAAAAATTTCTAAAAATAATACAGGCAATAGGAAATTTGACTTTAAATTGATTTTAAACATATGTAACAGTATTAGAGGTGACATGTTATGCAAAACTCACCTTTGGGGGTCTCTACTGCCTCTATCAACTCTCCAAATTTGAATAAAACATCCACAAGTGTTCTGTCAGTGTTTTTTTTTTTTTGGAATTATCTATCTAAAACAAGCTGTTTAAAAAAATCCCTCATTTGTGATGTCACAAACTGGGGAATAGTTAGAAAAGAACCATCTTTCATGTGTAAGAGAGAGTTGCTGCTGGAGGACTGGCGGCTCTACTCTGAGCCCCTCCCAGGTGTTAAAGCTTTTAAGCCTATAGCAGCCTGAGCGAGGAAGGGGTGGGCGCGGCCAGCTCCAGTTTATTTCCTTAAAGTGACAGAGCCCTGAAACGGCTCATTCTGGAAGGAACTGAAACTGTCAAGAATAAAACCAGCGTAAATTGCTTTATGTGAGAAGGATTTGGTGCAAAGAATTTCATAAACATGTTTGTATCAACCATTTAACTATTCTGATTTAAGAAAATAAGTTATAATATGGCCCCTTTAATTCACAAGTTATAAATCAATGGACACAATACAGTCACTATAAATCAGCCAGATGGGTGAGTTAGTGAGGCAAACCCAAAAAAATCAGGAAAAGGGGAAAAAAATATGACTAATCTAGTTAATTTTGTGACACCAAAAGGATAACTTTTAGCCAATTTTTCTTGGTTTTTAGATTGTGAATCCTCTTAATCACTTTTAAAACAAACTTTTATCCATTTAAACTGAATAAAAACTGAAAAAAATCATATATGAGCAGTAAAAAAAAAGAGCACTGACAAATCATCTGTGAAAATGTCTGTCAGAGAACTTCTTATCTGCAACCAGAGCTTTATTTTTTCTAACTCTCACTGCTTCACTGATAATGTGTTATTGTGAATGAAGCCAGAAAGACCCTTGCGGTTCAGTGAGAAAACCAGTGTGTGAGGGGTCTACAGCAATATGTAAACCATTTGACATCAGTGTTTGGGCTTTCTTTATGAGAACATCTGCAGCAGCTGCTCTATAAATTTCCGGTGCTGAGAAAGTGAGAACAGAAAGTACCATTTTTGTATGGCAGCGTAGCATAACAAGAAGCGGATCTAACTCGTGCCTCATCTGTAGGGTTTATGGAAAGTGAAATAGAGGATGGAGACTGGGTTGTTGCATGTTTAGAGCTCAGTCTCATGTAGAAACAGGATCAAAGTAGAATTGTTGATTAATTATTAAATCAAGAATATGTGGATTTTTTTATTTGCATGATTTACAGACAGAATTGTATTTTCTAAGCAGAGACTATTTCATTATAAAAATATTTTATTACATTCAAAAGGTAGGCTGGATACCACTTAATTCTGCAGATAAAATGGAGAGTAAAACCCTTACTTTCAGTTTTTTTTATTTACACAAACATTTGAGTCGTACAAATACTTGCCAGTTTCCTGAGGAAAACTGTTTGATGACGGGTTAGGGTTATTTTTGTGTAAATATTTTATTCATGCTTGGAATGTAAATGGAAGAATACTGCAGTTTAGTCCTTTTGTTGAACAGCTTCACACTATATTTTAAATCTTTAAAACGCATCTACAATGAAAATGAAAACTGCCATCATTTACCAAAAGATTGCAGAATCCCAGTTGTTTTAAACAGGACTTGAAAATGCCATATTAATGTATTTTTTCTTTGTACTCGCGTCATCTTTCTGTACTTGACATTGTTACAACAATGTCAAGTATCTGACTTGTTTGTAAATATTTTCATCAATATAAAACGTGAAAAAAAGTTTAGTAAAACCATGTTTAACATACACGTTGAACTTAACGTATACTGTATTATATTATGTCGATAACGCATTTTTTTACGTGGAGGTTAATTTAAGCAGCGCAAAGCACTTTCAATACAAAAACATTTGTTCGAAGATTAAAACAAATATCCCAAAACTTATCAAATATTTAATTGTAATTATCGGTGTGGTTTGTAATTCAAACATTGAATGCAATTCACGAATATATATTTTTAGCCGTTACAATTTTGACGAAAGTGCAGTGATGTTTGGTAAAACATATAAACACTAAAAGCTACTGCTGGAGTAGCGTTACCTCTTTCGCGTTTTTTAACAGATAATTGATTAAATATTGTAAAATGTGGGGCGAGTAAAATAAAATTGTGATTTGTAGGAATATTCTTGAACCGGTTTAACTGCATAGGTTTTATGTTTTTGCTAAGTAAAGCTAAACTATGCTAAGCTAATGTTTCTTCCTCAGGAGAGATGGATTCAGCTTCAGCTGTACATAAAGGTTTGAAAGCTACTTTTTATCTTGATTTCTTTCCATTAGCGTTTAAGTTAGTGAAACGTTTAAGTCTCGCGCTCGTTTAGAACTCCTTTTCATTGTTGTAATCATTTAGCTTTCATTTAACAAATATATTATGCCAAGTAAATGTTTCCCTGTTATCAGTTTGCAGGTAATGTAGTAAAAACTGAAATTTGTCTCTTTAACATACACCTTTTCTCCAGTTGTATTGTTCACTCAAGTTAATGCTGTAATGGCGAAAGTACATTTAGTTTCTTACAGTGTAAAAAAATGTGATTCTATGTTTAATCCTGAGTTTATTCGGTTTATTCATGCATTTAATACTGTAATGTGCCTCTGTACTGAACAGATGGTATCATGACTGAAGCCAATATCCTAAATCTGACCTCCACCTCTCATAATACGGATAAGGCATGTGGGATGCTCACAAAAGATGCAGAAGAGGAGGAGAATGAGAAAGAAGCTGTCCCCAAACCCATGAGACCAGCATTAAACCATTGTATGCAGGAAAAACCAGTGTTTCCTGGCAAAACCGTCGATCCCAGTCACTGCATCGCCTTAGACCTGAGAGGTGAAGACAGAGTCCCTTATACTATCAACAGATACTTAAGGGATTACCAGAGGGAAGGCATCAGATTCATTTACAATAACTACATCCATTCTACTGGTTGTATCCTGGGAGATGACATGGGTCTTGGAAAAACCGTTCAGGTACATGAGATTTGCTGCAAAATCCTCCTAATTATTATCAATTGGAGAATTGGACCTTTGTGTATTAATTGCACATCTTTCTGTACTTTTTTAAAATCTCATTTAGATAATTGGTTTTCTTGCTGCTGTGCTGCACAAAACGGGTACATGGACGGATGTAGAGAACAACCGGCCTCAGTTTCTGCAATCTCAGATGTCCTCCAAGCAAAGCAATCCCTGCAAAGTGGGTGTTGTAATCTACCACTAGATATTTCTTCAGTTACTTGTTGGATGTGTGCTTCAGGCCTTAGTCCTGCTTCATTACCAGGCTGTGCAGTGTTTTTATGCTCTGGTTCAGGTGTTCCTCATTGTGGCTCCACTGTCGGTGCTTTATAACTGGAAAGACGAGCTGGACACGTGGGGTTACTTTCAGTCTGTGGTGGTCCACGGACTGAGGAAGGAGGAGGAGCTGGCTCGCATCAGGAAGGGTCGCATCGAAGTCGCTCTCACCACCTATGAGACTCTTCGGCTTTGTTTGGATCAATTCAATACGTAATAATTGAAACAGAATGCAGCACACCTCAGTGTAAAAAGGATTGCATTTTATTTTGTCTTTGTGTTTAACTAAAAACACATTTTATTTTGTGAAAATTTTGTACCTTAACTCAAAATCTTAACCTTAATTGGATATTTGAATAAACATCTCACTTGTAAATGCCTGCACATATAACATTCCACGTTTCTTCCCTTTCTGCTGATGCATCATGTTCAATTTTCTCCGCTGAAGTGTCTGGTTTTTAGATCTTGGAGGCTACATAAATGTTATTCTTAGTTCTTTGTTCTGTTGGAAGATCATCCAACCACACAGGAACATTTTAAGTTTTTCTCAGTGTTTTGCAGCGAAATAAAAATGAAAGGAAGCACATTATTCTCATGAATGTTGCAAATGTTTAATTTACTGACTTCTGTCCCTGCAGAATAGACTGGTCAGCCGTGGTTGTTGATGAGGTGCACAAGATAAAAAACCCAAACTCTCAGATCACTCAGGCCATGAAGGAGCTGAGATGTAAGGTGAGAGAGCTTCTGATTCAGAGCAGTCTTGCAGGTTTTTAGCTCTATTAATGGTTAAGTGTTCCAAACACCTTCCTGGCTAAAAGATCTGGGCAAACTTTGTGTAAAAATATAAGACGATCATAAATGGTTTTGGATTTTCTGTTTGATTTAGATCCGATTTGGTCTCACTGGCACAATCTTACAGAACAACCTTGAAGAGTTGTGGTGCGTCATGGATTGGTGGGTTGCATCCTTTTGTCTTTGCGTTTTGATTCCAAATCCCCAGATTCTTCTTGCCCTTAAATAAATAATTACATATTTTCAGGGCCGCACCAGGTTGTCTCGGCAGCCTGGGGTACTTCAAGAATAATTTCTCAGATCCCATTGAACAAGGACAGAGACACAGTGCTACAAAACGCGCCCTGGCCACAGGAAGGAGGACCGCCCAAGCCCTGGTGAAGAAGATTTGTCCTTTGTTCTTGAGGAGAACTAAAGCGCTCATCAAAGAACAGCTGCCAAAGAAGGATGACAGGGTGAAAAAGGAGATCCCACACCTCTTTTCTCTTCAAACTGAACACTGATTAGTAAAAAACATGCTATGTTGTGTTATGTCCTAGGTGGCGTACTGCTCTTTGACAGATTTTCAGCAGACCGTGTATCAGGCTGTGCTGGACTCTGAGGATGTGACGTTACTGCTCAGATCGTCAGAAAAATGTGATTGTCTCAGCGGACGCACTCGCGGAAACTGCTGCTATAAAGTCAGTTCCTGTTTCATATGTGTCGTCCCATTTTTCCAACGCTTTATCATTTTTGGAGTAACATGTTACTGTAGAAATACAACTGTGCAGGAAATAATGTACAACTTTTTTTATTCTGCAGAAAAACTCTAAAGGTGTTTGCATGAAGGAGATTTACTTTAGTTATCTGGCCATATTGAGGAAGGTTTCCAACCACGCAGCTCTTCTTCAACCAACTCCAGGCACCAGCAAGAAACAGGTAACCTCATGCTTTCCATCGTCAGGTTTGGTATTTATTTTGACTTTCTCATGTGACACCAGTGTTCACATCACTCCACTGGCTTCTTAAAAGTTCTTTAGGCTTCATTTCAGTTGGTTTTTAAGTCTCTTAAATGAGTCATACACTCATTTGAATACATTTGGTTTCTAGTACAGGTGAAATGCCAAAAATTAGAATATCTACAAAAGTTAATTTATTTCTGTAAAAGCAAAAGGGGCCAAAACTAAGTACTGAGTACGTTTGCATGATTATATTTTTACAGTTTTGACATTTCTTTATTTAAAATCCTTGTTTAATTGATTTCGTGTAATGTTCTAACTGTCTGAAATTTTTAATTTATGGTTTTCATAAGCTGTAAGCCATAATCATCACTGTTGTAACAAAGAATGGCTTTGCGTGTAATGAGTCTATCTCATATATTAGTTTCACCTCATAAGATGATTGACTGAAATAAACGAACTTTTGTGCGATAGTCTTATGTTCAGAGTATCCGCGGGTCCTTAAAAAGTCTTAAAAAGTCTTAAATTTGCTTTTCTAAATTTAACGCCTTAAAAATCCTTAAAAATGACAAATAATCCTTAAATACAGTTTCCAAAGGTCTTAAATTACCAAAGACCCAATGAATAAGAATTTCTAGTTAGTCTTCAGCATTTTTTGTGTACGATGTTGCCGTAAGCGGAACCGTACACATTCAGTTGGTTGTGAAAGGGGGCTATTTTTAGATGAGCACATTAGCTGGTTAAGCTAGTGGGAGCATGCGCCATGGGGAAGTGCAAGTTTAATGGTAACTGGGTGGGTAATCCCACGTTCGTGACGTGGTTAGCACCGGTTCCAGGCAATAGCTGGAAATTATAGCTTAAATTTAATTTAAAAAATAGCTTAAATTTGGTCAAAGTGGCCTTAAAAAAGGTCTTAAAAAGTCTTAAATGTGGCTCCCTTAAACCTGCAGATACCATGTATGTTTCAAGATTCGCCTGAACGACTAAATGCCTTGTAAGTCATTTTTTAGAGAAGAGCTGTTGCGCTCCCATTTCAGGAAGTAGAAGTTAGTCTGAGAAGTGGAGTGTGGAAAATGGCAGGATTTAGAGTCTTGCCTCTCATTGGCTAATAGCAATATGACTCTTCTGCTGCCTCCATTTGCTCTTCTTTCCAATGCAAAAAATGCAACGTTGATGTTTTATCACCACAAATTACACAATCCTGAACCTTTTCTGCCATGTTGTGGGGTTGCTATTGCTAATGGTTAGCGCCTACTACCTGAGATGTGCTCTGATCTCCCCTGGCTGCAAAATAAATACAGCTTTCTGTGGTCGCAAGCCAAGATGGGCGAATACATGAATGCTAATTTTACTGTGGGATGTAGATCTGTGTTGCTTTTTCTGACCTGAGCATATTTCCTTCTCTTTTCGGTGCCTAAAAGAGGAAATAGGGGTATAAGGTCATTCTGTAATGATTTAATTACATGTTATTTAATAAGCCATAAGGCGTAGGATTCCATAGGAAATATGAAATCCACCTTACGGATCTGTGAGGTTATTTTAAACCAGGAGATTGGACCTTTTTAAATGCAGGGATTAGATAACAGCTTCGTATTCACTCAGAGACAACAGAAGAGAGAGAGTCAAGTTTAAAAGTTAAGAATTTTATTACTAACAAATTAAACTAGACTGACTTTAAACACTAAATGTATGGTGTAACTAAGGTGGATGAGACGGTGAATGGATGAAGTGTGATGTTGATCAGAACCAGCAAATCCGAAGAAGCGATTAGTTCTGATGGGAACTGAAGGTGATGTCTTCGCGTTAAGTTAGGAGATTCATAAACACATTCGACGCCATTTGCCGGTCTACATACCCTTCAGGAAGTCCCCTTTAGATCAGGAAAATCGAGGTCCAGCTTGACCTTCTCTGGAACCGAGCCGGTAGGAAAAGCAGCGGTTGCCGATCAGTCCAGTCTGTGAGATACTTCCGGGTTGCGACAATTTGTTGGTGCCTGGTGAGACCCAAGCCTGGGTCTTGATGGTTCAGCTTTTATTCTGAAAGGAACCATTGCAGCAGTTGGAACAGCAACACATTTTTCAGCTTGTCGTTGGTTCTTTCGGTTGAAGAGTTTTAGATCAGGATTGGCCACTCCGTCACTTTCTCTGGAACGCTTTGAACTGGCGTTAGAGATGACGTGGCATAGTTTTATACTTAGGATGTTTTGGTTTATGGTCGAATGAAAAATTACCAAACACCATCAAAACCACGCCTCCGTTAGATCTGTCAGATTCTGATTGGATCATTGAAAGTAATGTGTCATGTCTTTTAACGCTACATGAAATGAGTCCTTTTGGAACATTTAAAGTCATATTACTTATTATATTCTATAGGATTATAATAAAGTAATTAATATTTTGATTTCACAGATCGGTCACATCTTATTATTGACTAACACTTGGATGGATTAGCTTTATTTAAATAGAGTTCTTTGATTAATTAAAAGAAAAGAGTCCATTCTTCATTCTTCTGTTGAGCTGAAAAGAAGCAGGTTAGAAGGAATGCATGAGACCTTGAGGCCATGTCTCATGCAGACTAGTCTTGTGCAGAGGAGGGAAAAAAACAGTCATTTCATTCTGTTACATCACTATTGGCTTGCGTGTGAAACTCAGAGTGACTGATCGTATTTCTTAAAATAATAAATAGTTAAGTACTAGTAAGTAGTAAGTTTCTTGGTGAACCTCTACTGTAAAGGTCTTGTTTACTGATAAACTATAATACATGCTCTTTTTGAAATACACATGCATGCCGAAAGTGAAGAATTTCTTTAACCGCTAGTACCCGTGTCAGCCACCAAAAGGAAATAGATGGGGAAATGATCAAGTCAAACAAAGGCCAGCCTCTTCTACATCCCAGGGAAAATCTGCATTCACGACACCGCCCACCTTGGCTTACGACTGCAGAGGGCTGTGTTGATCTAGCTGTTAATGCATATGTCATATAAAGTAGCAAGTCTTAGCTAGTAGAAGCTAACCATTAGCAACAGCAGCTCCACAACATGGTTAAACACATTCAGGTTGATGTTATTTGTGGAGATAAAACACCAACGTTGGATTGTTTACCCAAGAATAAAAAGAGAACAAAGGTAGCGGAAAAGTTGTGTTGATGCTAACCAATCACTGGCGAGATATTTGCATATCATGTTTATTAATGAGTAAGACTTACAATTCAGACATTTCTGCCCCCCACTACACCGACTAACTTCTACTTCCTGAAACGGGTGCCCCAGAATTTTTTTTCTCAGCAGAAAAAGACACACAAGAGGAATGACAAGTGCATGAGAGCTTTAACGATCAGACCTACAGAGTCGTTACGTCATCTTATCATATCTAGAAAGTTGAGGTTGAACAACAACATTCATTTGTTGTTTTGGTGCAACTCTGTTCATAAAATGCTTTATAAAAGCAGCGTAATCAACAATGTATTCATGTTTTTTCATGTAGGAAAAGTATTTGAGTTCCATTTGTGCAACGGTTTTCCACAAGTTTCCAGAATTTGTGCAGAGATGCAAAACTGAAGCATTTGAAGCCCTTTCAGACCCGACTTACAGTGGGAAAATGAAGGTACTGAACTGGTTTGAACTGCTGTTTCATGTCCTTTTTAAGGTAAGCGTAGTGCTCGTTAACATTTTACATTTTCTTGTAGGTATTGCAGATGCTACTCAAGTACTACCTGCAAAAGAGAGACAAAGTACTCATCTTTTCCCTTTCAACCAAGGTGAGGACAGATCATTTTTGTTGCATTATTTATTAATGTTTTTTTCCCTCAGACAGCCACAATCACTATGGCATAGAGGTCATTCACACCAGAAATACCTAATTAACTGATCATCTGCAAAAGTGAGCGCCTCTGTAAAGGCCACAGAATCCGGGTCGTTGCACATCAATGTGGGAAACATTAGAAGAACATTTCAAACCATTTGGAGTTCATCATCCTGCAAGGAGAAGGAATATTCACAAGTAAAAGATTTATTCAAGCCTTTTTCAGAACTGTTTTTTTTTTTTGGTAAATTGACACCAAGGTGAGAACAAGCGGCGCTCAAGACAAATAGCAGTAAAGCCAAGAGCTTCATGTTTTCCAAAACTGCGTCCTGCTTTGACCCCACAACATCACCCTAAAGTGGAAAAGGCCAACACTCCCACTCAATGATGTGAGACTGATAAAGTCATGCAGATGTTAATCCTGACAAAAGAGGTTTTGTACATAATTTATCAATCAATCAATCAATCAATCAATCAATCAAAGCTTTATTTATAAAGCGCCTTCCGCAACCCTGTCAGGAAGCCCAAAGCGCTGAACATGGTACAGTTAAGTAAATATATTGAATAAATCAACAATAAAAGAAATTCAAATTACAAAATACAAATTACAAAGTACAAAATGGAAATTACAAGATAGATGAAACAGTCCGGTAAAGGACAAATGTGTGAAACACATTTGGATTGAGTGGATGGATTGAGTGAACCAATGAAAACTGTGGAATGGATTCAACATAAAAGAGGGCCAAAATCAAACATGTTCTGGAAACGCCAAGCGGAGGAGGTGTGTTTTTAGGTGATTTTTAAAGGCTGGCAGAGAAGGGGACAGCCTAACTGAGGGTGGCAACTGGTTCCAGAGTAACGGTGCTAGGACTGAGAAAGCCCGGTCCCCACGGGTACGACACCTAGACCGAGGGACAGCGAGCAGGCCTTGGTCAGAGGAGCGCAGAGCGCGTGATGGGGAATGTTTGTTCAGGAGAGTGGCCAGATAGGGGGGACCACCACCCTGGAAGAAATGATAAACAAAGACGAGTATTTTGAATTGTGAGCGATAGCAAATCGGAAGCCAGTGCAGGGAGGCCAGAACTGGACTGATGTGGTCCCGTTTCCTGGTCCCAGTCAGGAACCTGGCAGCGCTGTTCTGCACAACCTGTAGGCGACGCAGTGTTGACTGACACAACCCTGCATAGAGAGAGTTGCAGTAATCAAGCCGAGAAATAACAAAGGCATGCAGTACCCGCTCCAGGTGGGCTCTCGACAGCATATGCTTGATTTTAGCAAGGCGTCTCAGGTGAAAGAAACTGGACCGGATCACAGAATTGATGTGAGCATCAAATTTAAGTCCTACATCAAGTTTCACCCCCAAACTGGTAACAACTGGTTTTGAGTACGGAGAAAGAGGGCCAAGATCAGCATAACGATCCACATTCCTGCTGTTAGGGTGAAAAACAATGAGCTCTGTCTTTCCCTCATTCAGGTGTAGACAGTTGGACATTAGCCAAGACTTCACCTCATTAACACAGGAGACAAAGGACTGAATAGAGTGACCTTTCTCCTGACACAATGGAGAGTAAATCTGGCAATCGTCAGCATACAGATGGAATGATAGGCCATGTTTACGAAAGATTGACCCCAGAGGTAGCAGATAAATGGCAAACAAAAGTGGACCAAGGATCGACCCCTGCGGGACCCCCCAGCGGAGCCCCTCCCAAGAAGAAAAAACATCACCCAGTTTAACACAGAATTTAGTCGTGTTTGACGGTTTTCACTCGCTGGTTCTGCATTTGTGACTTTTGATTTTGGCTAATTAAGAGCGCCGTGTTCTGTTTATTTGATTTAAGACTCAAAAACCTTAAAAAGGCCTGCTTACCATGAGCGTATGGGCTTTATAACTATATGTAGGAAAGTAAGTCAGAACACACTACTTCTAACAGATTTTATATGATGTCAAAGTTCAGATGGGCTGGTCAGATTTAAGCTTTTACACCGCGGTCACGCTGGTTCAGCCGTTCAGAAAATCAGTTTTCTTGTTTAAAGTCTGGCGCTCTGCCGAACGGCCACTCCTGTGAGAGTGGAACTGCTTTATATCATAAAATAATAATTACAAGAGACATGATTTTCTCATGACATACACATGCATATTTATATATACCTTAGGGGCTTTGGCAAAGCAATTAGATCATTAAAGTTAATTAGTTTCTGTAGGATTTCTCTGGCTGCTGTTATATGATATGATGTAATAATATTTGTGGCTGCTGTGAGGTCAACTTTTATGACCTGTTTTGCTTTTTTGGGATAAGGAGTTCATAAAGGGCACAGCTTAGTATTACTTTGTAGGATATGTGTAAATATACAGTTTGGTGAGCTGAATGACACATGGCCAGTGTTGTTTGAAATAAGATTTGTTTGTCGAGAGTCTTCATTTAAACTCCGTTGTGGTAAGTGCATTCAGCTGAACTGTTTTAACGTTTTAAAGTGTCTTTTTAATTATTCCTGCCAGCTGTTGGATATCCTGGAGAGCTACTGCATGGCCGAGGGACTGGATTTTAGCCGGTTGGATGGGTCCACCAAGTCCAAAGAAAGAGTCCAGATCGTCAAAGAGTTCAACAGCTCTTCTCACGTCAACCTATGCCTGGTGTCCATCATGTAAGTTTGAAAAACAAAGTGTTTAATCAGAGTTTTAACTCATTAAAAATGTTGATTCTTCTTCAGGGCTGGTGGTCTTGGCCTTAACTTTGTTGGTGCGAACGTGGTGGTGCTGTTTGACCCCACCTGGAATCCAGCCAATGATCTTCAGGCGATTGATAGGTAGTTAGTGGGTCACACTTGGGCTTTAAATATTAAAACATCATCTTGTTACAGTTTACCAGGCTGACGGAAATTCTGAGCGTTCCAGCTGCTGACATCTGTGTCCTTTCAGGGCGTATCGTATCGGCCAGTGTAGAGACGTCACTGTTTTTCGGCTGATTTCACTTGGAACCGTGGAGGAGGTTATCTACCTCAGACAAATTTACAAGCAGGTACGAGACAGTTCTAGTCCACAAGTCACCGTTTGATCGCTTCAGCAGATTCACCTTTGTGATAAAATAAATATTGAACCTTAAAAGTTAGTTGAAAAAAGCCTTTTTAATTAAAGAGACTTTACGGAGTTTAGAATTTTTATGTTCGTGATTGCCCCCTCAGGCCAAAAGCGTAACGGCAGCTTCAATAGTAGGCTCGTGCATGAGGCGCGCATGCTGTACGTGCACACTCCTTAACGAAAATAACAGCTGAGACAGTCCCTTGTGTGTGTGTGTGTGTGTGTGTGTGTGTGTGGGGGGGGGGGGGGGGACAAAGGACAGGAGAACATGCAGCTAATTAATTAAATAATTTGGTTCTGTACCTTTCTCTTCAGCACAGCCGACAAAGGTTTATGATGGGTCGGTCCTCCTGCATGCTCAGATCATTCCCTTCCCTTGCTTGAAAAATTGTTCCAAAATGAAAGTTGAACCCACATCTTTTTTATCTGTGAATTCATTGCCGTTCGGCCAGTCTCAAATAAAAATTTGGGCATCTTACTGTAAAAAATACCATTAATGTAAAAAAGGAACTGTAAATGAACTATGTTCACATCCAGAATCAAACCCAGGTCTTCTGCATGGGAGTCAGACATCTTACAAGGTGAGCTACACTCTAGTAACATTCACAGTATCTGTAACTTTTATATCCTTGATGACAGCTGAAACAACGTCAATCCAAAGAACGGTTTGAAGCAAAAATGGCTATTTTGTTGCTAATTTACAGGAAATATCTAGAAGAAAGTTCTACAGAAAGTAGCTATGGGTTCACAGAAATGTAGCTAGCTTTGTCACTAGGCGTTAGGAACAGCGACAAAGTGGCACTGCCTCTCTCTCTGCTGCTAAAGCTACGGATAGCAAATGCTACGGGCTATGCCTGAGCGTGAACGCGCATGAAGCAGCCTGCTCGACCCGAGCATCTCTCTTTTTCTGTGATTTTACAGAAAAACAGGCAATCACAGTAAAAATGCCAGGGCTCATTCTACAGGACCAGGGCATTGCAGGAGAATGTATGAAGAAGACATTTATTATTTCTGTACATGTTTTGGCTGCCAAACTTCCATAACGTCCCTTTAAGGAGGAACTAGACAGTTTTGGCTTGCTTTTAGCACCCCCTAGTATCCGTTTATAGAACCGAAACTTGTCTCCTCACTGTGCGTTCATCTTTTTAACACTTAAATCTAACGTCTCCCCAGCCTTCCTTACTGTCTACAGGAGTGGTCCATCACCAAATTAAACAAATCAGCTGTGTTCACGATCTAAAACATGCAGGAAACTTGCTGGTATGTTCGCTTCATTTTTACTAAGTCTCAATAGAGCGGCCCGCCAGTCTGAAGTTGCAAGTGGAATATTTTGGCCACTGGGGGTGATAGGGGCTGGGTGGCCTTTCATCAACCATTTCATTAAAAGGGTCATTTTAGTACTCAAGAAAATGATTTAAAAATATGAAAAAGTTGCAACGTTTCCGTTTAAAGAACAGCATTACAAAGACAACAAGATGTCTGCTGAATTTTTTTTGTATGATTTTACATAAAATGCTTTTTAGAAATGCACAAAATATGGTGGCTTGTGAAGAAAAACAAGCAAATTTTGTGGAACTCCATATAACTGAAGTTATTTAGCAGCAGGTTGGGACCATGATTGGAACATTAAAGCATATCAGTCACACTAAATCTGTTAGAAGTGAAGATGGGGAGAAATGGATGTGACAAAATTAAACTAATCAAACACATTTCAGAGATCTCCTCTCTTCCACACACTTCCAACCTGTTTTTATAGAAGAAATGATGCAACATATTGGTAATGTATTATTTTCTTGACACATTTAGCCAGAAACAGATTTAGTGTATATTTTTTCTGGCAGAGTACAAAAATACTTTTTAAGGCTTTGAAAGGTTGCAAAAATGTCTCCTCACATCTCCTCCCTTGAGATACCAGTAATCGGTAATTTAAAGGTGCAATAAGTAAGAATTTTAAAGTGACGTAATCACAAAACCGTCTGCTGTTGCAGCCACGTTGGAAGTAAGGTAATACTGAAATAGATTTCTCTCTCAACCAGCTGGGGGTTTGTCAGGTTTTTTTTTTTTTTTTACTTTTAAAAAGACCAAGTTATATTCTCTCCCGCCTCCATACTTCCTGGTTTCAGAGCCAATCATATGTGAGCCCACAAGGTTGCCAAGTCAACACAAACACTCCTGTTCCAGCATTTTTTATTTGGCACTGTCAGCAAAGAGCAGCAGCGTTTTGGACAGATTGTTAGCCAGTAAGCAGGAGCGACCCAGAAGTTATTTCTTGTGCCTCTAAGAACAGCACGGCATCTTTTCGTTTTACTCTAAAATCGGGTGAAGAATCTAGACGCTAACACTGAGCTAACAATGCTAACGGTGAATTAGTAAAATATTGTCTGCTCTAAAAATATCTCAAGCTATTTTTTAAATTACCAACAACTCGATGTTACAGTGAAATATATTTATCAACCTACTGCACATGACTCGTCATCGCTCACCATCTAGAGTCTTCTGGCGCTGAGCCGTAACGGGAAACAGCTACTCAGAGTGGACTTGTTTCTACAGAGACTGCGGTACCTACATCTGACCACAAGATGTCACTCTTACGTTATGCATCTTTAACTTCTGCAATAAATATACATTTCTATTTGAGAAAGGTTAGAGCAGCTCACGCTGTAACTGTTCCTAAAATAAAGATTTCATATTTTATTCGTTCAAACCCTAAATCCTCTCTTCTTGAGTGTAAGCCTGATGCTAAACCTCATGCTAACGGTTCAATGCGTGATTTTATCTTCACTAGCAATTGCAGAGCTCAGTTGTCGGCAAGGAGAGCGCCCGGAGGTACTTTGAGGCGGTGCAGAGGAACGACGTCTACAAAGGAGAACTGTTTGGGATCAAAAATCTCTTCAGGCTGCAAATGGAAGGAACGTGTCTCACATGCAGGATTCTGGAGGTCAGAGATCTAGCATGTCTTTGGTGGCCTGTTCAAAATCACATTATTGAGAGTTTTACACACACAAACGAAACAGTTGCTGAAAGATAAGTTAACAAAACATTGAAAAAGTGCATTCCTGTGAAAATTGTGACCAAAAAAAAAAAAAACCTGGAAATCACAATTTAAAATGTAAAGGAATGAGCCTCTTTATATTTAAAATTCTTGCAAACATCTAAAGTTTAGAGGTTTGCAAGAATAGATCATGTTTCATTTTCATAATCCTGACAGCTCCAAGTTGTGGTTTGAATGTTTATATTTATCTTGTCAGCGGGAAGGACAAGTGGAGGCCGGCGTGATGACAACAAGAACACACAGAGGGGGCGAGAAGGTGGAGGAGACGAAGGGAGATGGCGTGAGTAGCTCTGCCGTTCTCAGAGACACGGGGCTCTCGTCTTTCCCAAACCTTTCCCATCTCCTCTCCCAAGTGGATCACTCACTCCCTTATTCCCATGTGAAAGAGGGAGTACCTCAAACGGGCTTCTTTTAATCTGTCAGTCAAACCAACCCACACATTGTCATGCTAGCAGACCACAGCTCACGTCCTTGGATTTGAAAAAAAGACAAACTTCTTACAGAAATCATCTAAGCACAGATATTTAGTGAAAAAAAATCAAAAGTTTAAGTTGTGTAAGCTGAATAAAACCCGTTCACCATTCGATTATTTTGGTTCGTCTTTAGTCGTAGTGCCGAATGGTGATGAGGTTCTTGTCTCAGCAGCTGGATTTAATGACTTGCTTGACCTAATGAGAGGAGTGGACTTAAAAAAAGCCCATTTTTCTATTTAATTGTTATTTTGTTTTCTGCCAGTTGCATCATAGTTGAGGGCTCATGTCACATCCGTGTTTATTAAGATTTGTTGTTGGGAATCGTCTGTTTTCCATCGTCCAGTGAAACCTCCCACCTAAAGATCCATCCATCCGTTTTCTGAAACCGCTTGTCCACGTAGGGTCGGGGGGGGGGGGGGGGGGGGGGGGCTGGTGCCTATCTCCAGCGGTCAACGGGCAATCAGGCGGGGTACACCCTGGACAGAGAGCCAGTCCATCGCAGGGCAACACAGAGACACGCAGGACAAACAATCATGCACACACACACACACACGCACACACACACACACACACACACACACACACACACACGCACACACACACACACACACACACACACACACACACACACACACACACACACACACACACACACACACACACACACACACACACACGCACACACACACACACACACACACGCACGCACACACACACACACACACACACACACACACACACACACACACACACACACACACACACACACACACACACACACTCACACCTAAGGACAATCTAGACAGACCAATCAGCCTAACAGTCATGTTTTTGGACTGCGGGAGGAAGCCGGAGTACCCGGAGAGAACCCACGCATGCACAGGGAGAACATGCAAACTCCATGCAGAAAGATCCCAGGCCGGGAAGCAAACCCAGGACCTTCTTGCTGCAAGGCAACAGCTCTAACCACTGCGCCACTGCGCGGCCTCCACCTAAAGATGGTATTAAAAATGGAAATGAAGAATTTGTAGCTAATTCTCTTTCATATCATTCTCTTGCTTGTGTACCACTCTTTTGGCTATCCGTGTTTTTCTTTCGCTTTATGCTTTTTTTTTTTTTTTTTTTTTACTTCAGGAACCCGGAGATCCACTCAAAAATGGCCCCCTGTCTAAGGATGAAGCAGCTGAGAAGACGAGAGACACGTTAGAGATCCCCAGTGATCTCCTGGACTTCAGCTGTGGGAGTGGATCAGAGGATGAGGAGGTGCAGGGGCTAAAGAGAAACCCGGGTGGAGATGATGACAACAAACGTGAGGGGGCAAGTTCGTCTCCCGGTCGGATGGGCCTCCTTCAGCTTGGCTTCTCTAAACTCCTCGAAAGGGTGAAAGAAAAACCAGACGCAAAGGAGGACAGCAGCTCTTCTGAAGAGGCTGAAGATCAGCGTGTAGAGGGTGATTCCACTGCCAGCTCCAAGACGTCCAGTCCAGGAAATACTAGTGCTGTCAGTCTTCCCAAATGCGAAACAAAAAACAAATCCTCTGACTCCGACGGAAAACATGAAGGTAATGGAAACATGTTTAACGAGGGGGAATATGCAGTGAGGCGGAGGCAGGGTCTGAAACGAGGGATGGATAAACAAACTGCATCGGATGACAAGAGCGATGAAAATTCCTCACCGGACAACAAGAAAGCTCATAAACTCAAAACTACCGTTCCCGACGTTCACCTATTTGACAGTTACTCCGACGAATCAGACGATCTAGACTTCGAAGCGAAGATGTGTTGCGATAAAGATGGTTGGAATCCATACAAACGAGATGGAGGACGAGGAAAGGCCGATCACATCACAAGAAGGCACAGTGCTGGTGTAAGGAGCAAAGCTGGATCTAGATACAGAGAGGACATAGAGACATTCACATCTTCAGAGGACGAACAGACGACCTCCACCGGGAGACGAGCATCTCTGAAAAGGCCGAGATCTCCGGCGTCTACAGAAAAGAAGAAGACCATCGACCATGTCCTAGGTTTGTCTGCACTAGGGGTTGTATGAACTAGTCGACTAGTCGACTTCACGGCTCTGTAGTGACTTTTTATGCCTGTCATCGACTAGTCGCTGTCACGTGATAATGACTGACAAGATGCAGTCCTCCAGCAGGTGATGAGCTCCTTGCGTCGGGAGGCGGAGGCGACGCGCTGTGTCAGAGCGTCGGTACTGATACCGGCGGTAAAACGGACATTTAACCAAACTCTGACCTTTTCCCTCTTGCAATTTTACCTTCCCCTCACCCCCATCCTAATCTTAACCAGCTTGCGCATGCAAAGCTCTGATCATTGATGCGCTCCAGGCATCTGCGTCCTGAGAACCGCCAAATCAGGTGTCACCACCTCAAAAACAAATTAAACACGCGATCGTTCATGTCGGCTCATTTCCTTTAATGTTTTCTGTCTGTTATTTGTGCCTGATGCGTTTCGCTGCTGCGGAGCGAGGCGCATCACCTGTTTTGTTCTCCGGTGACGCACCCCCAAAATTCCACTATCTCCGCTCCATTCCGCTCCGCTCCGGCACGAACTCCGCAGCAAAAACGGTCCCGTTGTAGTCGGCCGGCGAGCAACGGCACTCCGCTGTTTTTGCGGTCGGTAGATCTTTTAGAACTGCAGTTCAAAGGTAACTCATGAGGTGAATATATATGAACCCAGGTAGCAGTTTTTCTTTAGGATTGAGAGGAGATGCAGGAAGATAATAAACAGACAGGACAGAAAAATAGTCAAATAAAAACAAGTTAGTTTTTGTATCTGCTGGTTGCAACAAACATACTCCATTGAAGGTAATCAGAAGTGAGGAACAGAAAATGAAATAATTATTTTAATGTTTAGAGCAGCAGGAACTCCGAGAGGCTGCAGGCACATCAGTGAGTTTGCGGCTGCTGCGCAGGGGGAGGGGGGAGAGGACTGATGCAGAAACTACCGTTGTTAAAAGAGATGTGTTAACTTAGAAAATTCTTTCTTTCGATTTGGGCGCAATTTTAATTGTCAAAAACTCCAGCGAACCTACCGACCCCCCTCCCCCCCCCTGCCGCTGCTGCTTCAGGTGTATGACGTCATCAACGACTTGTCGAAGTCGACTCGATATTCATTACTTGACTGTCGACTTAAAAAAAAATTAAGTCATGCAGCCCCTAGTCTGCACTTTCAGCAAAGATCTAACTTCATTCTAAAGGTGATGAGTATTTCTGCTTGAAGGGGGTCTACAGGAGGTGGTGTACACACACTCGAACCAGCGTGTTGTGGGTGGAAGCAAAGCCGAAGAGCTGATCAGCAGAGCTGCTGTACGAGACGTGTTTGAATGCAAAATGTTTTCCCAGCTCCCAGCCAATAACCTGCTCGGCACCCAGGAGGTCAGTATCACCAACACTGGATCAAACCATCATATTTCAATTGGGCTCCAGACCAGCACTATGTCCCCTTTACTCATATAAAGCCAAAGTCATTGTAATAAAGTTATTTTTATATTTCCAGAGTCTGCCGGCAAGCCCGCCTAGCAGCGAGCCTCCCTCTGCCTCCGTTCAGCAGCAGCGGCTCACCGTGGATCATCCGGTCATCTTCACTGGCAAAAGTGTGCACCAGACCCAACACGCCACCGTCATCGTCGGGGAGACTCCCAAAGCCATACGACGGTAGTGACACGCACAGTTAAACCGTAACGGAGGGAGAAAACAAAAAAGAGGGTTTTGTAGAAGTAAGAGAAGGAAAACTTCACGGGCCTAAAAGACCCAGCGACACAAGAGGAAAGGTGAACAAATAAAATGTGGAGGGTGGGAATAAGAAGGAAGAAGGGGAAAAAAGAGTGGAATTCCTGGCAGTGTAGGGAAGACGGCCAAAAGCCGCCACATTTTTAGTGTTGAATGCCCCCACCCAGGCCTTAATAATTGTGTTTGTGTGTAGAAAGAGACCACCTCTGAGGTCTCCCACATGCCCGTTTCCTAACATCTCGCCAACGATTACCCAGCTATGATTCGGCCCAACAGTGGAGGAGTTTACAACCGCAGCCAACCTGGGACTGACCAAAAATGAGCGCCTTGGGTCGTTTAAACACTTCCTAGTGAGAATATTTGACCCCACGCTTGCAGACGGACAGTATTCCTACACAGCTCTGTTGCTGCGTCACCTCCGCCCTTCACCCTCCCTCGCCCTCGCCCGCAGACACACAGACACCTTTATGGCTCCGGCGTCGCTCCCTGAGGGGAGGGGGACGCTGTATCTCTGCCCAGAGACTCACCAGGGAGAGCAAACACACAAGTTAGACTGATATCGCCTCAATTAGCCTTCATGTTTAATGATCTGAATCCACATGCACGTCAGCTTTTACTGCCTTTACTTTTATTTTTTTCCAGTGAAAGCCACAAATGGTAATAAGGCTATCATGATGTTGCAGAACACCAGTCATTTTAAAGTATTTCTGTCATTTAGTCTGGTGTGTGTGTGTGTGTGTGTGTGTGTGTGTGTGTGTGTGTGTGTGTGTGTGTGTGTGTGTGTGTGTGTGTGTGTGTGTGTGTGTGTGTGTGTGTGTGTGTGTGTGTGTGTGTGTGTGTGTGTGTGTGTGTAGGCAGCAGCTGGAACAAATGGCCGAGAAGTTCAAATTTGCCTCAGTCCAGTCGTTTGCCGTTGAGATTCTGAGAGGAAACTCCTCCCACCGACTGTCCTGGCTACAGCAGTATTACACCTCACAGAACCACGCTGATCTGGCTAAGATAGTCACAGCCAAGTTCCCAGAGCCTGATTCAGCACAGTCCTCCTCTACAACTGCTACCTCGACACCATCCACAAAACCAGCCGCCAAAAGACGACACACAACTCAGAATCTCCCACAAAAGGAACCTTTAGGAACCACAGAATCTGGTGATTGCACCCGGAGGAATCCGAAACCCAAAACTAAGACCAAATCTCCGCAAAATAATGTTTCTTTGCCGCAAATTAGACCTGGCAAACTAAAAAATGATGTTCTTGGACCTCCAAAAAGGCAAAAGATGTTAGAAGAGAATGCGCATGATCCTGATGTTCCAGGGTCTGTTTCGGAGGAGCAGGAGGAGATGGTCTGCAGAGCCAGAGGAAGCAAGAGCACAAAGAATAGTAGCGTTGCTAGTTCTGGACCGTGCAGAGCTGGTGTTGGTCTTCATGTAGAGCAGGCCAGCAGCAGTGGTCAAAGGTCTGAGAAGGCTGCTGCTTTCCTGAGCCGCACAGACAGAGATACCCCTTCTTCCTCTGACCTCGGCTGTCGTAGCTCCGCCCTGTCATCCAAACCTACTGCTCAAGAAACAGAGCAGGAATTGCCATCAAGGGTGAGAGAAACTTCTCCTTCTTCCTCCTCGTGTAACCAGTCCTTTCTGATGGATCTCCTAGGAGATACATCCATTCTAGATGACCTTTTAAAACCCAGACCCAAGAATGTACAACGGATAAACATTCCTGAAGCAGCTCCCACAGCCTCAGCAAGTCACGTCACACATCCACCCTCCAGTCAAGCGCTCAGTCCTGATTTAAGCTCAAATATACGAACTACACAGTGCGTCAGTGCACAAGCAAAGGGCAGCCACCGAGACATCTGGGACATCCTCGACGAAGGGAATGAGGAGAGCATCAACAAGTTAACAGATCCACTCGAGCTGCAGAGAGTTTGCATCAGCACCAGCTTTGCAGCTAGAGGCTCCGCTGGCCAGAGGGATAGCAAGAGTCTCTGGAAAACTAACGACAAGTTCCTGTGGAAGAAATGATCAAACATTTTAAAAGAGATCGTTTACGGTTTCTAAAAAGTGAAACACACCAAATGTGAGTGTAATAGATGTTTTACTAACATTCTTGCAGGTCCAAATGACCTGTTTTTTTATCTAAAAGTCTCTAGTTGAGAATATTTACCCAAATGATGACTACTTTACAATTAATAATCTGTATGTGGGCCTTTTTCAAGTCTACAGTCCAATATTCACAAATTTTTCACATATGCAAATTTATTTTTGTTTTCCAGTATATATTTTTTTAATAAGATCTGTTTGGGGTTAGGGATCTGTTAACCCTAACCATTAAGATCTGTTTCTGGAATTGAAGATGCACAAATATTTAGTTATAATCAAATCTGATATTATGCTAATAGGCAACTATTCATGGTGATGTCATCACATTGCGTAAAATCATGTTTTCCATTGCAGCTTAACAGTAAGTGTTCCAAATGGTTGAAATTCGCCCTCAAATAAGACTAACCAGTTCATGGAGGCAAAGGGTTTAGGAAAGAACCGAGACAACCATTTATCCAGCAACGTCTCCTCCTGTGGAATCCCACAGCCTTCCCAGGCCAGTCATGGTGTCCTCATCACTGAAGAGCCCCGACCCATCTCTTGTTCTGTCCTGCCATTGTTCATGAGTAAAACAGCTAGATACTCAAACTTCTTGCTTGAGATAGAGACTCATTCGCAACCTGATTCGGAATCGTAGAGAAGAGGAGAGCTAAAGGTCAGGGCTTGGAGATGCTAACAGCAACACATCATCTGCAAAACTGAGATAGTATGGCGCGGTATGGGGGGCAAAATTAAGACTACTGCCCAGCAGCAGGAGGCTATATAAATTCTGAAGCAAACTACCGACCTGATTAATGATAAGCTGGCGCCGGTAACTGAGAGGCTGGCGCTGCTTACTGAGGAATAGCACCTTTACCGGCGTTACTAGATACGCTAGGGACTAGCAGCCCTCGGCTGGTCATTGACTGGTTCACACACTCCCTCTGCTGTCTATTAGCATGGATAGGCTAGTGTTAGCCTGGACGGGCTGGTGTTAGCATTGGAGAGGCTAGCCATTAGCGTGCCTAGGCTGGCCAGTAGCTGACTAGTGACTCTCTTGAGACACGCTAATGGCTAGCCTCTCCGATGCTAACGCCAGCCTATCCATGCTAATGGTCCGTCGAGGAGGTAGGAAATCCAGCTAGTGGCCAGCCTAGGCACGCTAATGGCTAGCCTCTCCAATGCTAACACCAGCCCGTCCAGGCTAACGCTAGCCTATCCATGCTAATAGACAGCAAAGGGAGTGTGTGAACCAGTCAATGACCAGCCGAGGGCTGCTAGTCCCTAGCGTATCTAGTAGTAACGCCGGTAAAGGTGCTATTTCTCAGTAAGCAACACCAGCTTATCATTAATCAGATCAGTAGTTTGCTTTGGAGTTTTTATAGCCTCCTGGTGCTGGGCAGTAGTCTTAATTTTGGCCCCCATACCACGCTATAAGATAGAACCCTGAGACTCCCAAACCAGACACCTTCCTTCCTATGACTAAGTCTTGATATCCTGTCCACGAACAGCCCAAACAGGATTGGAGCCACGGAGCAACTCCGTTGGAGTCCACTCGACCCTAGGAATGACATTTAAACTAGAGAAATATCACGTTACCACATATTTTTAAATTTGTTTTTACAATATTCTGTATTTATTTCTCTTCTATGCATGCGTCAGTGAACAGTGTCAATGCTTGAACTTCCTTTACACCCCCAATACGACGTTCAGCGAATCACTTGATAAAGAAAATGACCCGTTTCTGTTTGTCGTTGCTATTGGATACCAGCAATTGCTGCCTGAGAGCTGTTGGTGGTCCCTGCTGAGATGTCACTTAAAACTTCTTAATGGCTGTTATTTCTCAATAACCCTCCACCCCTGCCTCCCACTTCCACACAGCGTGTACTGTAAAATGTGCAACTCCACCGCAGTTCTCTGCACTGTAATCCGGGCGGCTCGGCCCAGTTGTGTCTCAGAGGCCCTTTTAAGAGTGAAAACCTTTAGTGATAAAACAATACGCTGCAGAAAACTTTGTGGCACTTCAAAAACAAAATGTTCATTTCCCCATATACCTTCTTCATTTGTCATTATAAAGTAGTTTTAGATGCTTTTCTATTATTTTCATTCAAAAACGGCTTAATTTTGGTTTGAAGTTAGATTTTTGCAGCAAACCCAGTCCTTTTTTTTAAACCCCACAGCTGTGTTTGACCTCTTTCAGTTGTTGCAATGAGGTAAATAGAAGAACCATTTGTGTTTAACACAAATGAGAAAGTGCTGATAGCTATCAATAAACAAGAGAAAGGTCTCAACAGACCGTGCAGGCTGTTGCATATCTGGTGTGTGTGTGTGTGTGTGTGTGTGTGTGTGTGTGTGCTACTGGGTGATAAGATCACAACTGCATACACAAGCACAGTCGGGCCACACATCTGTCACACCTGTCCAGATCGTACACACAAATAATAATTAAAAAAAACTATTTCCTCAAAACCTCAAACCACTTCCTTTATGTGCTTTTGTTCTCTGGCTCATTCACAGATTTGCAGATCCGTATCTTCAGTTTTTTTTTCTTCTTTAGTTTGGTATTTTACTGACAACTGAAGGGATTACAGATGACTGACAATGGTTAATGCAGCTAACATGGCTCAGAGACAAACAATAGCGTCTTATCACTAAATCTGTCTGAGATTTTACCAAAGACTTGCACTGAGGCATTTAGCCATCCCACCAAAAGGAATATTTTAATTTGCGGGTTTTTCCCACTTTCCTCTGTACGTCTGGTGTTTTGTGCCAAGAGCAGTTGAGAAACATGTGTGTTGCTTTGGAGGTGAGTGACAAGTGGCAAAAATCTGGATAAAAATATTAAAGCCTTTCAAATAAAAACGTCTGTTTCTGTAATAAATACCCAATGGCTAGTATCTTTCTTTTCTTTGAATGCTGTTTGTGATTTGCCAATAATCTCCCAATTTTGTCTAATCTGTCCAAAGGGAATCCTCCCAGAAGCTTTATGGCTTGTTATATTTGGTCAATTCTAGTCAGGATTTTTCATGATTTGCTTTCAACTTTCTTCCTTGGTCTACTTCCATTTAGTTCACTTAGCTTCAAACAGGTGGTACAATCTGAGTTGAATGTACCTTAAAATTGGAGTTTACTTTGAATGTCTTTGAAAGTCGAACTGGTATTTTTGGTCACCTATTGTATTTTTCCCCTCTTTAAAAATGTGTAAAGGGAGGTTTCCTACAATCCTTTAGGCCTTAAATCAGACACATGACTTTTTAAAGTTATAATAGTTCTATGGTCTACGCGAAACATGTTTATGAAGTTCTTTGCACAAAAGCCCTCTCACATAATGTGATTTCAACAGTTTTATTCTTGACTGTTTCAGTATCTTCCAGAATGAGCTCTTTCGGGGCTTTGTCACTTTAAGAGTACAAGCTAGAGCTGGCCACGCCCACCCATCACATGCTCAGGCTGCTATAAGATGAGAAGTGCGTAGGTTGTTTACATATCTGGGTGGCCTGGTATTTTTCCGGGCCAACCAAGGCTCATTCTCAGCCCTCTTCTCGAGGGGGTCTGCTTCAGGCCGACCAGGACCAACACACCTACTGCTGACAGCAAATTCACACCTTCCATTAGAGCAAGCCTCTGATTGGTGGGTAGAATCAGCCCACATGGGCTTAAGACAAGGATGTGTGGAATCAACCAGGCCAGGCTGGGGCCAGTGCCTTCAGTGCTCCTGTGCTTTTGCCTTTATTATTTAGTTTTTTTCTATTTTCCATTGTGGTCTATGTTTTCCCCCCTTTAAACAATTTCCATCGTCTTTCCTTTCTGCTTCCTTTTGATGTTTGCATTGAAAAACGACGTCACTTTTGGAAGTGAAGATAAACGCTTTTTTAAAGCAAGATGCTTTTTTCTCCTATTGGAGCCACTAGGATAACTCCATTTCATGCTCAATGTTTTGACTACCGCTTTGAGTTTGTTACGAACGCTCCCACCTCTCTTCTTATTTTTCTGTTTTGTCTTCTTCTTCTTATTTGTGGTCTTATGGCACTTGGTAAACAACAATTTGGTGCATTACTGCCACCAACTGGATAGGAGGGGGGTGACTACAATCACTTTCTGTTTGTGCATCGAGTCTAACCCCTTCTTTCCACCAGAGCCGTCAACAGCACGTCTTGCTCGCGTAAGCTGCTGCTTGGCCCTTCCCACGAGACGCGAAGCAGCAGGGCAGCAGCTGTCACCGACAGAGCACGAAGTCACACGAGTGACTTTGTCAGTAAACACAACAACAAGCAGGAGAAAACTACAACATGGCTCCAAAAGGTTTGTGTTTCATGTTCAGTCCGTTTTATAATCGCCAATACGGACCTGAAAAACAAAGGAGACTGCTAGCTAGATGATAACTTCTCACGGGGCCGCACAGTTAGTAACCTTTTTTTTAAAGTAAAGCAACCGGAAGGCAGTACGTTTCTTTATTCTGAAAATCTCGAGAGCTTCGCTCTGTTTCCGCGTCCAATTTCCTGTCTTTCCTTCCCCAAAAATGTCGAACTTGACCCGTTTCAGAGGCGTTGCGCGTAGAAAATAGAACCGGCGCGTAAGGGCCGTGACATGCTGCTCCTGAGAGGTGGCCGACTTGCGCTGCTGACGGCTCCGGTGGAAAAGGTTCTGTTGACCACAGCGGTTCCTATCAGCAGCTATGACGTGCTGCTGCAGTAACGTGCTGTTGACGGGGGTTAAAGGAATGGTCCATTGGGGCATTAACAGAGAGGTGCCGGTGGTCAGGGCTATGGGGCCCCCCAACATAAGGGGGCCCCAGGCGACCTATGCCTAATAGTAAAACCGCCACTGGTTATCCCATTTGTGATGTCACAAACGGGGAATTTTTTAACTTTCTGAAACCAATAACTGACAGAAAACAGATGAACGGGGGGGGGGGGGTTCTTGCCTGGACTGTTTAGAGACAGAGATCAACATGACAGCATAAAAGGGTGCAAACTGAGTTTTGAACAATATGTCCTCTTTAAATTTCTCACTATGTGCAACTGTAATTACAAGAACATCAAGCTGCTGGGAGATGTTCTAGCCTTAGCTTTAAGTCATTGGTAAATGATTTTCTCAAATCTCGGGAGACAAATCACTTTTCAGCTTTCTGAAGTTCATTGAGGTACACACCCTGATACCAAACAGCACTGTGACTGCGCTTCACCCTGTGAACAGACTACTTTAGCTCAAATCCCTGTGATCAAATATTTTCCAGTACTGTTATTTTTAATGCACCTTAAAAGAGAAAGTTGAGCACCATATAACAGTCTGAACTTGTACGAAGCTTTGATCTGGATCTTTGAGTTGAAACAGTTTCTAGGAAGAGTGGGGGGAAATTCTACCAAAAGATTCAACGACTTTAAAAAGCATTTACAAGCTTCGATGCTTGTGAAGCAAACTTATTAAGTTCACACCCTGCAGATGTTTTGCATGCCCCTGCACCGCTCACTGTTGTGTCCACATTTAAAGAGACACTTTGCAACTTTTTTTGTATTTTTAAATGATTTTCTTGAGCCAGTAATGTGTTAAAATGACCCTTTACAGGGTTAATGAAAGGCCACCCAGCCCCCATCAACGCTTCTGGCCAGAATATCTCACCTGCAGCTTCACAGTTGCTGGTTTGGCCAGATGGGCTTTGAAAAAATGGAGCTTACGTACCTGCCGCTGCACTCTGGCTCATGAACACGGCTGCTTTGTTGAATTTAGTGATGGATCACCCCTCTAAACACTAAAGAAAGCTGGGAGACAGTTCGGCTATTAGACTGAGATGTTAAAAAGATGAACATGCAACAAGATAGGGTTTGGTTTCCGTTCCACAAATAGACACTAGAGAGTGCTAAAAGCAAGCCAAAACTGCCTGGTCTCCCTTTAAAGATT